AGATTAATGAGCCACTTTGCGTGTGGCGGAAAGTGCAGGGATTAGGAGAAACGAAAAGAGAAAAGTAAGAGAAAATGCACAAGGGAGTGCCCGGTGAAAAGGATGATTAAGAGTCCGCGGGGTTACGAATGCAAAGGAAAATAGGTGGGAGCCCACATGGAGCCCATGATCTCCAACGGAAATATATCGATTTTGTTTTATGCCCTTCATTAGATGACAACATTTAGAAGTAATAACTGAAAGTCATACAAATATCAAACTTTAAAACCGGTTTAATTAAAGTAGGTCTTTCCTTTCTTAACTGTCTCTAGCTTGTACCTCTTTTCCATTTAAACTTTCTTAAGGTACTGTGACCGAACAGTTTTCCCCATTAACCTGCGACTTTGCCCAAAGAAGGCACCACGCAAAACACGAATTGACTACGAACATTTAAAGAGTTTGTAAAACTTAATAACTGATTTTTATAGCTCTTTGGGTATAATATTCCAGTAGAAATTGGCCATCAAAAACTGCAAGATTGCTGAGTGACAAAAGCGCTAAGGAGGCAATTCTTTGCCGCGTGGCACAAAAAGTATTCAACACATCGAGCTCAAATTCCTTGGGACAGTTTATCGTGCTGCGNGACCCACAGATTAATGAGCCACTTTGCGTGTGGCGGAAAGTGCAGGGATTAGGAGAAACGAAAAGAGAAAGGTAAGAGAAAATGCACAAGGGAGTGCCCGGTGAAAAGGATGATTAAGAGTCCGCGGGGTTACGAATGCAAAGGGAAATAGGTGGGAGCCCACATGGAGCCCATGATTTCCAACGGAAATATATCGATTTTGTTTTCATGCCCTTCATTAGATGACAACATTTAGAAGTAATAAAGTCATACAAATATCAAACTTTAAAACCGGTTTAATTAAACTAGGTCTTTCCTTTCTTAACTGTCTCTAGCTTGTTCTTCTTTTCCATTTAAACTGTGACCGAACAGTTTTCCTTATTAACCTACGACTTTGCGCAAAGAAGGCATTACGCAAAACAAGAATTGACTACGAACATTTTAAGAGCTTGTAAACTTAATAACTGCTTTTTATGGCTCTTTGGGTGTTACATTCGAGTAGAAATTGGCTATCAAAAACTGCAAGATTGCTGAGTGACAAAAGCGCTAAGGAGGCAATTCTTTGCCGCGTGGCACAAAAAGTATTCAACACATCGAGCTCAAATTCCTTGGGACAGTTTATCGTGCTGCGCCCTTTCACTA